GGCCTGCTGTGTTCATCCAGCCCTGCACCTTGTTGTCTCGGATTCTCTAGCATCTGCAGTTCCTACTATCACTGAATGTGCTATCCACAACATTCTCAGCACTGGGGATGCTTCACAGTGAATTCACCCACAGCTCCAGCTCCAGCTCCACAGTGTGCTTAGCCAGTAACTGCAGCTGGAGATATTACCAGGGACAGCTGAAGCTTCCATGATTTGTCACCAGCACAGGAGGAGCATATTACAGGTGTGACTTCTGTCATGACTTTTTGTTTAAAAAAAACTTATGTAAGAATGCTATTAACTCACTTCCCTTGCGCTAATTTTATTTTTCTTTCCTCTTTGCTGATTTCTATTCCTTTATTTTGTTGGTCCTGAGTTTCACTTATTTCTGTTTGTTAGTTCATCCATTCTTTCAAACAAAACCACTTTTAAAAACATTTTGAACAAGTCAATATGCCACTTCCCTGCAATGTCACAGTTTGAGTTGTTTTCACAATCAGAAGTCCTCTGGAGCTGCAGTTGTTAAACCAGGACTCCCTTGTAAATAGCCCCTCATTAGCACCCTTTGCTTTGCTGGCTCCCCTGCTCCTGATCCTCCATTTATCCTGTTGCTGACACATCCCTCTTTCTGCTCAGTTGAGGTTGAAGTGTGGACCCTCAATCCTGGGTCTCGCTCTATCCTGTTGCTAACTGCTTCTTTCCACTCAGTTGAAGCTGAAGTGTTATGTAGATGTAAAATGTGATTTTCAACTTAATTTTATCATGTATTAGCACATTTTTAGTTTTAGCAAGGCTCTGACGAACCTTCTGACTTCAGGCTTGAATGTAGGATCTTTGTTGTCAAGTGTTTTTGCTCCTTACTACATTTCGTGTAATTATTTGAGATGGCTGGGCCATCATTTATTGCTCATCCCTAGTTATGAAAAGACAGTTAAGAGTCAGTCACATTGCTATGGGTCTGGAGTTGGTAGGCCAGACTGGGTAAGGGTAGACGGTTCCTTCCCTAACAGACAGTGGTGAATCAGATGATTTTTTTCTGACAGTTGACATTGGTTTCATGGTTGTCATTAGACTCTTAATTCCTGATTATTTTTTTGTTTAATTGAATTCTACCGTGGCAGGATTTGAACCCAGGCCCCCAGAAGATTAACTAGATCTCTATATTAATAGTCGAGCAATAATATCACAAGGCCATTACCTAGTATATGTAAAATGAGATGCATTTAAAAAAATTTGAATTTTGGAAAACCTGAAGTTGCTTCCCAGTTTGTGTGTTAAAATGTAAAGCTATTCTCTCTCATGAATAGTCTAAATATGGTGGATTAATGATCTTGCCGCCTGAGAGAGTTTATCCCAGTTTCTCCATTTACCCTCTAAAATGCTTTTCACCCTAAATTTGAATTTAGGTTTTTATAGATCTAATTAATTACACTGTCATTTTATCTGTGAAGACACCGCTGTTAAGGGAATATGTTTCTCAATTAAAGCTTTGCTCAGAGAAATACAAAATGAAATTTGCTTGCTAGCATTAGTTATAAAACCCCCTTGCGTGAATGTATGGCTTTGTGTGTGGGAAATTGTGTCTCACGAACTTGGAGTTTTTTGAAGAGGTGGCAGAGAAGATATGTGAAGGTAGTGTGATAGACATTATCTACCATGGACTGTGGTGAGGCCTTCAACAAGGATCTGCATGGTAAACTGGTTAGTAAGGTTAGATCACATGGGATCCAGGAGAGCTAGCCAATTTGGATACAAAATTGGCTTGACACTAGGAGATAGAGGGTCATGATAGAGAGTTGTTAATCAGACTGGAGGCCTTTGACAAGCAGTGTGTTGCAAGGATTGGTGTTGGGTCTACTGCTGTTCATCATTTATATAAACGATTTGGATGAGAATATTGGAGACATGGTTAGTAAGTTTGCAGATGACACCAAAATCGGCG